CATGAAAGACAGAACAACCAAAAAAAAGGCATGTCCCCCAAAATCCAAAATGTAACAAAAAATAAAGTATTAGTTCTGCACAATCCAGCAGATATGGACACATAGAATGAAAAAGATGAGACAGAGCAATAATAAGGAGCACTAAGGATGCAGAAAGTGTTTAAAATTGTTTTTTTAAAAAAGGTCACGTCCTAAAACACCCTGCCTGCCTAATGTTTATCCAAAACCATTTAGCATCTTCTATGGCAGAAAATGTTATATGCACACAGAGTCAGAGTCATATGCGAAGTAATTTTTTTTAAATTTTACACAAATAACGTCTTTAAGATACAGTATTCCTTATATGACTATCTAACCATCAAGCTTTCAATCAATATCTGCATTTTAAAATGTACTGTTATATCTGTCTATTTATATCTTACTTTATTTCCTTAATATCTTGCCTTTTATCAAGGGCTCTCAAAGTACATTTCCTCGGGCCCCAGAAAGGGTGGGGGAAGAGATTATGATTATGACATGAATTTCCATGCAAATCAGATGCTGCTTCTGAAAACATTAGGCCAGAGACATTGACCTAGTCTTGTTACTGTCATGCAGTAAGCTAGCAGGTAAAGTCTGATGTAAAGGAGACCTACCTCCTCAGATTGTTTGGAAAAATCAGAGAAGACTCTTCTAACACTTGCAGTATTTCAGCTTATCGGGGCAGATGGGTCTTCAGGCCCTTCCCCAATGCCAGCATTTAGGAGTTCTTCTTCAGGGATCTGAACAATTGTCCAGCATCCAAATACTTAAAGGGAAGGTTGGCACTTAGTAAATCATTGCAGAAGACCACACCCCTTCAAGAGTATTTGCTGAGTCCTTGGTCTTAAGGTGATTATGGTGCTCATTTGGCTAATCAGCACAAATATTGCTGTTTTTCATTTCTTTTTTGCCCTCTCCTGCTTTTCTTCATGAGTGTGAATGAGTGTACATATAGCTTATTTTTATTTGCTATTAAAGGTTCATTGAAAGTACACAGTTCACATTTGCCTAGCACTGCATATTTCTACAGTTGATAAAGAAGTTTATGTTTATTACATTTTACAAACTCAGGAACTGGGTGCTCTCATTGTGTGAGAAAGCTGCAAAGAGGTGCTGTGCACAGCCCACCTATGAATATACTGAGGTGGAGGAATGTTTCCGTGGTGCACCTAGAAGAACTGTGTTCTCGAGAGGGGGTGAAGATCAACCTCCTGTGAATCGCAGGACATACGAAGGCTTCTCAGAGGGCCAGTATCTTATAGTGGATAGAATGATGGACTAGGACTCAGGAGACTTGCACTCAGATCCCCACTCGTCCATGAAAACCTACAAGGTGATACAATACTAAAACTGTCCCTTAAATAGCTCACACACCTTGAAAACTGTTTTAAAGTCACCATCAGTCAGATGGGACTTGATGGCCCAGAGCAACAATAAACGCATCATGGGTCTGAGAAGGCTAGACCTCATTGGAGAGGTTTGGAACAGTAACCCTTTGCTTTTGTCTCCAAAAGGCACAGCTAGTACACTTGAGAAGGGAATTTATGCACAAACCAACCTATACATGTGGATATCGTCTGTACAAGGTGGCAGAGAAGCAGACCAATATTTGGGAGACAAAAAAATGTGGATGTGCTATATCCAGTCACAGGAAATCACGCTAGATGTTAAACTCCTAAGCTTCTGAAGATCAATTTAACTGATGGGTCACTGTAGACAAATATTAATTCCACTGAACGCTTGAAGATTTGCTATAGTATTTGACATCACAGCCTTGCATCACATTCTGCATGTTAACCCTAATCACGGATACGTTGCAAGACCAGGGCTATACATGCAACCTTTTGATGTTTGGACAATTCTCTTTGTGTTTGTATATTGTTTAAGAGCTGCGGATAAAGATTGGAGCCACATGGACTGAAGTCCATTTGATTTAAATACTATTACTTTTTGGAATGGTTCCAAAATGGAATTTACACATCTCCATGTGATTCTTTTCCCTTGAGTAATTGAAAGTGAGAAGCATGTATATTAAGTAGTGCAATGAATCAGTAGCAGATTCCTTCCTATACATTTCTATGCTATGTACGTGTAGCATGTGCTGTACGATAGTTGAGTTGCCCTGTGTGGTGAACAGCTTATTGGACTGTCATCTGGTCATCCCTTGGTTGCCACTCATATAGAACTTGCTAGGCACATCAAAGAGAATGCTGCTCATTTTCTCCTAGAACTTTATGTCACAGTTTTGACTATGAGCTTTTTGGTCATTCATTTATTATTTTGACAAACACATTTTAATTCATGAATGCTTGCACTGATCATTTAACTTGTTTACTCCACTTTCTTTTTACAGGGGTGTTCTTCTTGTTTTCTTATTGAGCAATTTGTTCTTAGTGAGCAATAAGTTTTCTTATTGAGCAATTTGTTCACATACATTCTATTTGCTATTTTGTCCTTTCCTAACTCTTTCTATCCTTGGGTTATATAACATCAGCAGGAATCCTTCAGTCTCGAGAGACTATGGTAATCGTCCAATACATTTCAATGAGGAAAAATAAAAAAATCAGCAAAAATGAACGAAGACTCAGAACAACACCAAATTAAGTTTGCATACCTTTCACAAGCTGGACTATCGATGCCAAGCATTTAAAACAGTTTCCTAACAGTTTAAGACACTTTTAAATGAGGGAAAAGGGACATCGTTATGTGAAAATCCCCCATAGGAAACATCGCTGTGTGAGGCAGCAAATTGAATAGAAAAAGACATCGTTATGTGAATTCATCATTGTGTGAGGCACTCGTTGTGCGAGGCACCACTGTAATTGATGAGCAAAATAGCACAAAAATATTCAATTCCTAGAACACAGATGCACCTCTTCCTGCAGAACTTGACCTCAAAAACTATAACAAAGACTCAACCTATTTATTCAATAAAATTTAGAGATTAAAACATGCTCCAGGACTATGTGTGTAACTACAACTTCAGGTTCCAAAGTGCTGCTGTCTCAGTGTTTATGCAAGAGGGTCTATAAAGATAACCTTTCCACAATAAACATATAAGGAGAATTTTAACAATTCAATTTTCAAAGCAAGAAAAAACATTCCATCAAGGAGAACAGTATTCCACTGAACGTTTAAGTCTGACAGATGCCGTCATGGCAACTGCCAATCAGACTATACACAGCATCTGAAAACACAGAATGCATCACTTTGATGTTCCTGGCTCAAAAGGCATTTCACAGTCAAGAAATCGGCCCCATTACAAAAGTTGTTCACCATGGAGCTAACCTAGAAAACATAGTTTCTTCAACATACAACAGACTCTTCATAAGCAGAAATGCCATCACCTACATGCAAAGTATCCCGTTGTTTCATATGTTTCCCTTAATCAACTGAAACTCGCTTTTACAAATGTCTCAGCTTTTCAAAAGGACAAAGGTCATCACTAAAGCACATTTAATTTAATCTTATAATTAGGTAAATAAGTTCCTACAGCTCTTACACCTCCTCTCCAG